TTTTATAAAGGGAACTATCAGAAAAACTTAGTGTGTGAGTAAATCCTCTTGCTCCTTAAAACCACAAATATGACCGAAACCCGTCAACGTTCGACTGGTTTTGGTAAGCTATTGTATTATCAAAGCTAGAAGAAATCATTCCAAATGCTTTTTCTCTGATCATAAGATATTCTATACGTGTGTTTCATGGTACCTGGGGAAGTTGGGATGAGATGATGGGAAAAAGTGTTGCTCAAAAGATAGAGTTCTTGGCTTGACTCAGTTATACCTCTGGAGAGTTTCAGTTTTTACACTTGATCTCTCTCTCTCTTCTTTATAAGATTTCTCTTGAATGATTTTGACTGTGAAAAAAATTTAAGCTAGTTTTTGATATATATATATATATATATATATATATGCAAAATAAGTGCTCAAAAAAGTATGGAACAGTAGCGGAGAATATTCACATATCTCGTGGGGGAAATGTCTTCACAGTTCAACATTCTCACTTTTCCCTCCTTCCTCCTAGTTCTGAGTTTCAGCAAAGAATCCAATTTTCAATTCTATCACATTTTCAAAATGTTGAGTCTTTCCCGAGACTATCTCACATGGCTCTCCCATTGGTATTTGGATAACAAAGTGTTTTCCAAAGATCACAGGCATGACAAATCACAGAACCACCATTTGAGGAGTCCCTCCTAATCATAAACCACTTTCACTCTTTCTCCTCCACTGTGCACACAGCACTAGCAGAAACTTGGTTGCTGCCTTGTGCAAAGCCCATAGCCCACACATTTTTTTAACTTTTATTAATTACACTTTATTCATTTTGTATCCCCCATAAGCCCCTCCCTCCTCCCCTCCCAGTCCCACCCTCCCCCCCTTCTGCATGCATGCCCCTCCCCAAGTCCACTGATAAGGGACTTCCCAGAGACTCATACTCAACCAAGGACTATCCGTGGAGATAACCTAGAACCCTGACAATGCACCCACTTCTGATAAGAACTGATAGACTAAGATCAGAAAGAAGGAGAGGAGAGCCCACACATCTTCTCCACAGAATTTTTCTTTAGTTTTTAAACAAATTTATGCCTGCTGGAAACTATATGAATACATAACATAAAACCAGTAAATAAATAATGATCTGAAGAAAAACAATCTTGCTTATTTCTGTCCACATCCCATTTCCTACCTCCGTATGTATCAGCAATGTCTGAATGTACTAGACTTCTACATTTTGCTTAGAAGCTCAGAAACTGGGACTGGGGCAAAAACTTTGACAGTGCGCTTCTAGAATACAACTTTTTATGAACAACTGGAAACAGTAATTTTGTTCATATCTCAGTGATATCACATTCTGGGCATGTAACCTCTGGCTAGTCATTTTCTATCTCTGAGGCTCAATGTCATAAGAATAAGATTGTGTGGCTTCTATAGATTATTGTAAAAGCAATATGAGACACATCCCAGCATAAAGTAAGAGCTCAACAAATGATCACCGTATGTTTCCATCTGAAAGTGCATATATCTATACCATACTTCTGGCCGTGGTAATCAGATAAAGCTTTACCTATAGGTTCAGTAACATGTTTGCCTCTGACAAAGACAAAACTAGCTGGTCCACTCTATTTCATCCAGATAAATAAACTACATGTTGAGTTCTTAATATACACTAGACAAAGCATCATGCCTATGTAGTAAGAAATAACAAATATTCAGTTCTTGCCTTCAAGGGGCTGACAGTATAACCCATACCTGATGTAAGAGCATGTGCATTTTAATTATGTCTACGAAAAAAAAAATTCAGCATAATTTTGCCAACCTCAACATTCAGTCTCAGTTCTTTGAGGGGGGAAAGAGAGAGTGTGCAATTCACTGAGGTTGAGTGTATCTTCTTCCTCTCTTAGTCTAGACTGTAGAATGAGTGACTAGTTGTTCACCTCTCCACTCTTAAGCCACAACTCTCTAAGAGTTATTGGGCTGTTCCTCTGTCTTCTCCTTCTGCACTAAATGTTTTCAATCCTTCAACCTTTCCTTGGAGGTCCTATCTGCCAGCCTTGTCTTTAATCATTTTACTACTGCCCTCTGGGATTTCTCCAAGTCCTGCATATTTGAATGTTTTGCTTTGTCATTGAACTCAATTCTTCTGAGAAATTTATCCTTTCATATAGACAAAGGAAAAATGAGAGCAACTTCCAAACAGGAGGATGGTAGGTAAAAGCAAAGACAATGGCCAAGTAAGGAATTCATGGGGAACATTCTCATGCTCAAAGAAAATTAGCACTTACTGCCACCAGTATTAGGGAGAGGGCTAAAACCAGAACATTTTTTAAAATGGTGTCAACCATTCTATTCACAATTATCTAAATTGCTTTTAAGTATATGACTTTTAACAGCAAACTTGAGACTTGCTATGGTTACATGTGAGAGTCTCAGAACAAGACCAATAAAATCCCTGTAATATAAAAGTTAAGGAGATCAGAAAAGAATGCTGGATTCTACAAAATGCCACTGGCCATCAGGTAGACACCTGAGAGCTTACTACATCATTCAGGCAATGGCTTTGGCCAGTCTTGGCACATGCAAAAGATCTTTCATTTGTGTTCAATCCATCAATATAATTAATATTTCTTGGGCTGAAAGTGCAGCAAATTCTAAGTGACTCTTAAGAAATGATGGATAGAGGTTAATCAAATGCATGCCGATCACAGCATGCTACCAACGCAGGCAACAAAGAGCAAATACAAAACAGAGCTCTAGTGAAATATCCCTTCCAGATATAAACAGTGACTTGCAAGGAGTCTCTTGTCATACATCTACCTACTTTCCTTACAGTACCAGTGAGTCTTGCCAGCATTCTGGGAGACAGCAGCACATCTGCATGAGTACACACACATACACACACACACACACACACACACACACACACACACGACAGAGAGAGGAGAGGTGGGGAGCCAAATCTCTAAAGAAGCTGTGAAAATTCCTCCTAGCTAATAGTCTGCCTGTTGAGTGCATAACTTTGTTTTTAAACCATGGTTTAAATTGTTTTCTTCCCCTTCTGGAACATTTAAAGTACATGCTTACAGTAAAAGTCTTGGTTGGGCAGGGGGAAGGGGAGGTGGGAGGTGGGAGAGAGAAAGCATTAACCTTCTGGGCTGAGTCCAAGCAGACTGTTGGTCAGATAATAGTACTGTTTCTGAAAGTACTTAGATCCAGACAAGACCCTGTCTGGCCTGAAACTGGTTGGGCTGGCAGGTATCTGTCAGGAGATAAGACTGTGCAACAGGCATGAGAGAACACGTTACACCATGGGATACCCTTCCTGCCAAGTTCTTCAAAGAACCCTCAGTTCTGGGTTCAGAAGAAAGCCATGGCTTGGTGTTGAATCGCACCAATTGAGTCATACAAGTAATCCAATCTATCAGCTAACCGCTTAAACCCTCAGACATATGCCACCAATATTGTGATTGCGAAGTAATCAGAAGGCAAAGATGCCCAAGAACTTATCATAGAATCAGAACAAGGGACAGCCTGCTGGGTGAAGGCAGAAAATCATGAGTTACTTAATTTTCGCCAGAGTTTACCTGATCCGCCAACCCCCTTTCTTGATACTTCCCCATGCTCAGGCTTGTACTCTAGATGCTTGTAGCAGACACAGGTAGTGTTGGTTCCAAAAGAAAGGATGTGAAAGCTGTAGCATGCTAGTTGTTCCTTGACGGGTATTGCAACATAACCCACTAGTTATCATTTTTGCGAAGGTAAGCCTCCACTAATGAACTGTCCTACAAAGAGCCTCTTCTCTTATTTGTCTGGCAGTAGAGAGAAAGTCTTATAAATTCTGGGCAACTGTTGAGAACGTGAAAGCGGGACATTGATAGCGACACGTTAACAGGTCGCCACGTCGTCAGTGACTGTGACAAGGAGCCAAAGCCGGTAACTTAGCAAATCGTCACTGGACGCAACCCAGTACTCCCTTCTTTACCTAACTGTGTTCTGCAGAGACTTAACACCAAATAACTCCTTGAAACCAGTAATTTGTACCCTCTGCAACCCACCATGCCTTGGAAAGACATATTTGTATACAGTTTCAACTTGGGAAGTAGCTATGTGGAATATGTGGAATATTAACATCCTTATATGGGGAGGGATAAAAGAAAAAAAAAACGTGAGAACCTAAGTAATTAAAAAAAATTAGACAAGAACTAAAAAAAACAAAAACAAAAACAAAACAAAACTGAGAGAGCAGAGAGAGACAGACAGACAGACAGACAAAAACATCCGCATCCATCTGGAGTGAGCAGGAATCATCTGCTGTAAAGCTTTTTGAAACTGAAAAAAAAGTAAAATGAAATTCCTGCTGATTTTCAAAAGCCATCCATTTGGGTCACTCCTTTAAAAAAAAAAAAAAAAAAAAAAAAGGAAAAAAGATAGCCAGCAGATTAAAGGAACTTCATTTATAAAAATCAAATGAACCTCTAACAAAGCTTGTTTGGGGACATGAATAAATCATCCACCATGAATTATTCATTGTTGTCAAGAAACAAACTGGGGATTCCAGGAACCAGGCAGGATCTGGGGAGTGAGAAAGTTCATTGTTTCACACCCTGCACATGAAGGGAGAGGACCCAGACCTGCCATAGCTAATGTCATGTGAGGCCAACCACGCCAATCCTCCATTTATGGGACACTTCAGCACCTTATACCCAGAGGACAAAGCAGATAAAATTTAATCCACAATGTGCCCAGTAAGCATACCATAAACAGGGTCTCTTTTTCATGTGTGTGTGTGTGTGTGTGTTATACCTAAAAATATGACCTGTGTGCTAAAGACCATGGGGTTGAAAGCTTGACTCTGAAGAGGTTGACTAGAGAACTCCTTGATGACAAGCTGTTGACACAGCCTGACCTTTTCATGCATGGCTTGCAGTGGACTTGTTCTTGGGAAGGAACAAGAGACGGAGTGGGGAGGCTCCCAGACTTACTGCACTAACCAACATGTGTGCCTGTGTGTGTTCCAGGTCCCAACTGCTTTGCAGGAACTACAATAATTCCAGCTGGCATTGAAGTGAAAGTGGACGACTGTAACATCTGTCATTGTCACAACGGGGACTGGTGGAAACCCGCTCAGTGTTCAAAGCGCGAATGCCAAGGCAAGCAGATTGTGTAGGGCAGATTCCCGACCAGTGACGAGTTCTAGGAGGGGATGCTATGGCTTCTACACTGCACACGTTTAACATTCGACAACATGATCAAACCAACTCCTGCCAGCTACAACAGGGTCACCAGCAAAACCTTCTGGGGTGGACACAAGTGAATATCTTACGAAGAGGAAATTTCTCTCTCTTTCTCTTGCTATATAAAATATACATAGCATATAGCTATCTAAACCACTTTCGTAATTGCCAATGCTTGATGGTGACTTGACGACCGACATTTCTGGGACAAGAAAGAAAGAAAACAAGCCTTGAACAGGCTCCTTCCCAGGGATGCCTCTGACCTGCCAGTTCATGTCCTTTGGTTTACTCCATTTTCACTCTGTTGTGCATCCTACATTTTTCTCTTGTGCATTTTCTACGCTTGGAATCTAAAGGGGTCAGATTTGACTGTGCAGTAAAGTTTTGTATTACATCAGAAGGGTTTGATAAAGAAACTCTGAGGGGAAGTATCCTTTTAAACGAAAAAAAAAAAAAAAAAAAAAAAGGAAGAGTGTCCAAGCTGTGGTTCTCATGGGAGAAGTTATGTTTGCAGGCTAAGACACAGAGAAGTAATCTGGGTCCTCTGCAGACCAAGGTGAGGAACAGGTATTCTCTCTAATATGCAGGGGCTCACTATTGATTCTTATAAACCACACTTTTCATACATAAAACTTTGAAACTGCCAATCAGAGACAAGTAGCTGAGAGAGGAACACCATGAGCTGACTGAAGAACCCAAAGAGACAGGTACTTAAAACCGTAGCATTTAAACACCGGAATACTTCATGACGCCAGCTTTGAGTTTTGGTTTATAGTTATACATTGCAAAGCCCACCTTGTCACCGGGCAATATAAATACCAGAACCAGGGTGTGTAGCCCCACTGTGAATCAATCTTTCTAAACACTTCTGACTTTCAAGTTCCAATTTGGCTGAAAGCTAGTCCGATACACAGCAGGTTGTTTTTTGTTTTTTGTTTTTTGTTTTTTGTTTTTTGTTTTTTAATGGATCAGGGCTGTTTTTGCCATGTTACAGTAACAACCGCTCAGCCCTAAATCTAAAATCCAGATTCAGGACACTCTTTCCACCTTAAGTGCTGATGTAAATTTAAAGATTTAGGGTAGAGGGAGTCTTGCACAATACAATTTCGTTAGTTGAACATTTTTAATGTATATATTAGATACTAAACTATTAAAGAGAACCTTCGAAGAGTCTCAAGGTTGCCCTGGTAATGCTGCTAGCATAATAAAAGAAAAATAATAATAAAAGAATTACACAGGGTATCTGATGCCACCTCCAGACAAGTGCAGAATTCACAGTTGTGAGGCCATGTGGCCTAGTCACTTGCTCCACCGTCCATCCTAAAAACCCTGGTGCAGATCTGATAGGGTCCTTAGGAAACTTCAAAGTTTTCTTCATCTCCAGTTGTCTTTCCCTTTCCCATCTTCTGCTCCCACCCCAATCTGGCTTTCAGGTGGCTTCTGCGGAGGACCACATGACACGGAAGGCCGTCTCAATGTCAGTCTCTGACATTTGTCGCCTGATGGGTAGGGGCTGAGCTGCACACTCTTAGGCTGCTGAGTGGCATCCCTGGATTTTATCCACCGGGTGCCAGGAGTACGCACCTAGTTATATCAACCAACCGTCCCCAGATATTGCCAAAAAGTCCTCAAGGGGTGTGGATAGGGAACAGAATGAAGCTGTATCATGCAACAGTATCATTTCTGCCATGCAACATTCTCCAGCTGCACACACATGGCTTTGTTGACCCCCGGAGCCCTTTGGATCATGCACAAATAGCAATCCCCGGGGACGGGGGGGTCAGTCTCCTCCCTATCAAGTGATGCTTCTAACACCCACTCTCTGGACACCGGTTTCTTTAGTCTCATAAATTAGTTTTCTCATTTAAAATTGTCAGCCTCCCTGGAAGAACCACCTGTCATCAAGAAAGAGTTGTCGTTTCCAAAATTTATGTGCTGATGGGCCAGACCTGACACTTTTACACACGCTGTGCTTGTGCTATGATACAAATAACCATCCTGGTGCCATCCGAGGAAGAACATCCAGCCGCCTTCCTTTAGAACACCAATTTGCTGTGAGGTTGGTGCCTTTCAGTTGCCACTATGGATACATCATAGAGACAGCCATGAATCATTCATGAGCAATTCTGCATGATTTATGCCTGCACTCTAAAGCAAAGGCACGCCACACTTAAGCCCGTGTCTAGACAGAGTTGTACTCTACAGCTTTCTTTGCCCTGAAGTTGCCTATTCCCAGTTCCAAAAACCTATATTCTTGGAAAGAAATAATAATAATAATTATTATTATTATAAATGACAGGAATATGGTCTAAAACGGAAAAAAAATTACTAATAGAGCCATGTAGCATAGACCCTTATCTATTATTAAGGAGTTACTATGTCCTTGTTAGAAACAGAGAATGTGCAACTTGGAAGCCAAGGTACAGAAATTTTGCATCAAAGTCTGAGCCCACTGATACTCACAGCAAGAATTCGGTATGACAGAGCATAACAACTATCAGGACTCTCTTCAGAGAGCTCGCAGCTGGTACCTGATCGATGGCCGCCCCTACAAACTTGAGAAGGGGATTTTTATAGTTGTTTATGTTGGGTTTGGGCTTGGTTTCTTTTGTCTGTTTGTTATGTTTCACTGCAGTATTTCCTTTAATACCCCCCAAAGTACTAGTGTTTTTCTACCTTTAGGGAGAGGCGAACCTGTGACAGAATTTCTCATCAACTGGAAAACGTTTAACAACTTCCTACTGCCTGGGTCACTGAGAAATTCTTTCCAAGTTCTGAATATCAGAGATCTTCTGGTCTCATCATTTTGTTGTTGCTGCTGTTATTTCTTTTGAAGGCTTTGATTGCAGCCACGCAGTCACCTCTGTGTTATAATTTCTCCTATGCCTTTGGCTCGCGGCTTTAAATTCAACCATGTTTGGATAAGGGATCAGCAGCTGGTTTGTCAGCTGATGCCTGTTAAACTGATTCAGTTTCTAAAATCTTTGAAAAATGGTGTGCCTGAAAACTAGTGAAAGAGAGAGAGAAAAAAAAACCACTAAATACTAAACTGTAAAAAAGGGGGATTCTAGCAACAATATTTGATGTGTAAAAGAATATATTATTAAAAAATTATTTTGTTAAATATAAAGTGTGTTAACCAGTGAACACTGTTTGTGGTATGTTTTCCTTCCCAAGTTTCTCCTTTCTCCACTCCCTCTCACTCAAAAGTGAACTCTTGATGGCATCTCTCATCAGATGGCACAGTGTCACTGCAGCTGTAACCAATTAGAATTAAGCTTTAACTCTAGCATTTGCCTGTGGTGCATTTTTTTTTGTTTTTCAAAATATGAGGCAAGGCTGACCTGGAGGTCATAAAAAGAGGCTCAAGTGAACTACAAGTGAGAGTGCTTTAAGTGTTAGCGACAAAAATCCTTTCCTTACCCCCTACTTATCCAGCACTACGGTGTCTGGATGTTCAGGCATGCCAAATGCAATGCTAGCCTGGGAGACGACAGCTTTGTGTTCGGTCTCCATAATACACCCACGAAGAAGGAATCCTGCCTCTGTTTTACTACTGAGAAAAATCAGAATGTCAAGGACCAAGTGCTTTACCTAGCATCATGAGATGGGACATGGCCATGCTGAAATTCATTACAAATTTTTTTTTCAAACAGTCAGTAAAATAGCACGAGGGTCTTTTAGTTCCTCATTGTCCTGATCCACTAGTACTAAGATCTTACAGAACAGTTAACTTACTATTTTTTATCCATGATATCAAGAATGTATCCATTCATGTCTGAAATGAAATAACCATCTCTTTTTTTTTTCAAAAGGTGAAATTTTCCTACAAAACTGTATTACTATCAAACCTAGCAAAATTAGGAGCCTTAGAACTGTGCAATATCCAATCCATACTCAAAATTCTTATATTTTTAAATTATGAGAAGGAAATTTGTTTTCATAATCCAAAAATGGCCTTATATTTGGTTGGTGTGCCTCTTAAATCTAAAATATAGATTTGAACTTTGCCAACCACAGCTAAAATCTCTGACAAAACTCCTGTGTCCGTTGTTGTTTGATAATTTTTACTGAGAATATTGTTCTTTTAATGCCCATGTTCAACTTCATCCGTGGACTTCCAAGAAGCAACAAAGGGCTGGGCCCAGGACACTCACTATTCCTGGCAACTAGTACCCAGAGAACTTACCTTCATCTTCTTTGTACACAACACTCTTCAGGGAGTAAAAATGGAAGGTTACTGTCATGTTCCTTGAGACAAGCCCACTGCCTAATGCAAGTTATGTGAACAATATTTTTAAATTGCCATCATTTTCTGCATTACCAGGTAATGGGAAATATATCCACTAAGAAAATATCAGCATGATGTCTCTAAGCACATAAAGACACACTTGTATTCCACCAACATTTCTGTAAAACAAAATTAGACTTTCTTGCATTTCAATTTCTCATACATTTAATTTTCTACTCCCCATGTCCTCAAAGTTTCATACAACAGACACCTCAGAAGCACAGAAGCAAACCCTAAGCCAAGGCATAGATCTGATTTCTTGGTGGCATTTGAAGTTTTATGGTGAGAATAGTACTCTTCTAAAGAAAATATCTTCATGATTTTGAAAGGGGAAATGTTATCTCTGAGTCTCGAAACTCACCTGTGTTTTCTGACTGCATGTTTTATAAGCATGGCATTGACACCCAAACCGTGCTGTCTCCTATAAATACCCAAGTCTCCCTGAACAAACTTCTGCACCAAGAAGTTTATTCATAAAAGGTAAATGAACTGAATTGGGGAACAGGCAGACAGACGGTTCAGCGGGTAAAGCCTTTGCCACATAAGCAGGAGATCTGAGTTCACATCACCATCACACAGGTAAGAGCCTAGGTGTGACAACCTTGTGGGTAGGGAAGTGAAAACAGGAGGATCTGTGGGGCTTATGGGCTGAGTGGTGAACAGGAGCAGTAAGGAAGACACCTGAACTGACTTATAGTCTCAACCTACACATGGACCTAAATACAGGCTCAGATACCCACAGTTTCCCTCCTCACACAACGAATTCCTTTGAAGTTCTACAACTGGATTTTGAGGGTTCAATTTATTTTTTGATTACAAATGTCTACAGTGGTGGCCAGGGAATGATTTTCATTTTGACTTTTCAGAATGTTCAGATCCTCGTTCTTTCCATTTCAAATGCTAAATATCTCCCATGCTCCCACCACAAATGGGCTTTTAGTAGGCTTGCTTTCAAACAGCTATGCTACTGCAACTAATTTGAAGTTGAAAAGTTTTCCAATAACAGACACATGTCTCCAAATAAATGATCATGTCTGGTGACGGGGGTGGGGGGGGAGAAACTGGAATATAAAACTCAGCTACCATAACTTTAGTTTCTTGGTGTGTCCAACACTTTATTGGCTGCCAGACCTAAGACAATGACTTCGATCATCCTCACAGCCATAATGAAATTATTAACTGGAATCGCCACTTTGCAGACTGTAACACAGAGGCCAGAGAACATTTTGGCTTTCCTAGGCTTACATTCTATGCAGAGCTGTCTTCAGGTCTGATTACAGATCAGCTGCCATTATTAAGACTGGAGGAATTAAAAGAAAGAAATGGGTTAAGTGATACTGGATTTGACTATATCTTAGGTATGATTTGAGTATATATTTAGAGAAACATTATTGTGAAATAAAAAAAAAATGAATGGTGTATTTTGAGGGTGACAAGCAATCAGATATAGCTGAGTATGAGGTTACAGTTGCAAGCATATGCTCAAAGATGCATCTGGGAAGAAAACCCAATTGTCAGGACCTGGGAAACCATACGAAGAAAACTGAACTTGCTTTTTATTGATACTGTGGAGTAATTATAGTGAGATAAAGAAGGTCACATGATCATATTCATATTTTATAAACAACAGAATGAAGAATGAATTGCAGACCGTAAGGAGGTGGGGACACTGATGGGAGACAATTTCAGAAGGTCAGGAAAGGAATAAGGAGGATCTGATCTAATATGAGTGAGACTCAAACACAGCAGCATTGCCCTGAGGGTCCAGTGGGATGCCTGGAATGAAAAACAGTCACATCAAAGGCTCATGGGATTAGAAGGACATTGTTTCCAATGACAACAACCAATGATGTAAAACCTATGTTTTACTTAGAGTGGCACCTGATCTCATCTTAGGACACTGTGCCAAAGTTGCTAGTAACATGTTAGAACTCCAGGGTCAAGTACAGATATATCTGTCTTCCAGGCACCAAACCTTTTTGCCAGCTCACTTTCATCTTGACTTAAACAATTGCAACTTGAGTATCCAAACTTCACTACTGATCAGATAGACTTTTATATATAGTGTTCTTGACAAGAACGTCTATATTTGGAAGGTAAGAAGAAATCAGTTCTTTAATTAGTTCTTTTTCTTTTCTTTTCTTTTCTTTTTTTTTTTGCAAATGTTAACCTTATACTACAGCATATCGGCATAGTGTGAGACAAAAGTACTTGTGGGCTTCTAGCACTTAACCCAACACGGGCCCCTTTACAATACAAAAGGTTGACTTTGTTTTCTACAGTGTTGTTCACTGAGATTTCTGAAATTCAAATAAATAAATGAATGGACAAACAGACAAGAATTAGTTAGATAGCCACTGTGGTCATCTGGTTTTGTTTTTCCATGGAACGTATAGGGGTAAATAGGTAGTTAGGTCCCCGAAAGACCTTTTAGTGTGAGGTCTCAAAGATATCTAATTTTCTACATGCACATGGAAATGAACACTCATGTGAGCATACACACACACATCATGCATGTGCATATACCACACACAGAGCACACAGCACATACATATATGCTATTTGTTGTTGTTTTGTTCCCTATTAAATTAATCACAACATTGGGTCAGCCAGACCCATTAACTGCATTTCTCATTTAGACCTTATGGAGAGGCAGCTGCAGATGCAATTTAATTTGTTGACCCATGATCGATAGCCATTAATAGCATCTCTTTAATCTTGTTGAGAGGCCTGACTCCAGCTTCCAGTAGCCACCACCTCAGGGGACAGGTATCCATGCAAGCAAGCCTTAGCATCTACTTTCCCTCAACCCCCGACTTTCTGGTGATGGTGCCCCTTTCAGAAGTTACTGTTTGCTCCATGCTGTCAGCCATCACTCCAAAGTTCATCTAGGCAAGCCAGGTGCCATGGCACGCACCTGTAACCCCAGCATTCTAGAAGGCAAAGGCAGGCTGATGTCTATGAGTTTGAGGCAAGCCTGGTCTATAAAGTGAATCCAAGACAACCAAGGCTACACAAGACTACTCAAGCACAAAAAACAAAAACAAAACAAAACAAAAAGTTCATTTAGTCTCTGTTTTAAAGTTCTTCTTCTGCAATTCCATGATCTGAATATTAGAAACCTGTACTGCTGAGAAAAAATAATGTATATAAGATACTTTTAAATCCAGAAAAAAAAACTAAGATAACTTTTTAAATTTGCTATGTGAATAAAATTGCTACTTACATTTTCTAGGGGTTTGTGTTAAAGTGTAGCCAAGACAAATGCTGTGATTTTATCTTTTTCTCTTATTTGTCCTATCAATTTAAAAAGTCATTCCTTTGTTCCTAAGCGGCGTTTCCCTAGAAGAGCAGACACTGTGGTTGAACTGAGTAGAGATTGTTTTTTTTTACTCAAGGATCACGTGCTCTGACAGAACAAACAAGGCAAGTTCGTAGTAACAGGGAGGGAAGTGCCACGTGACCATGTGAACATGCGTGATGATAGGATATTGGCCAAGGCACTTGGGAAAGCTTTCTGAGACATCAAACTTTTTTGAGTTTTAACAGAAGAATACACCGGCAGATAAAGAATGAAGGAAGTGGTCAGTGTTCAATTTGTGAGGGGGGAGTTCCTGCTAACAATGCTTAGAACATATAACTACCCCATTTTGTTAAGAATGAAATCTTTTCAAGTCAGTAACCAACTGCTGGGCATAAAGCCAGGGTCCTGAAACAAATCGAAAGAGGGAAAATGGGTCATCTCCATTTTGTGCAAGAAACATTTCTCTTGTCACATCAGCTATCTTTTCCGAAGTCAGTGATCTTCCTAGGGTACCAGGGCACTGTATTTTTTCCAGAGTTTGCACATGCATCCCTA